TTAAGACTATATTCACTGAGCTTTGTAAAAATGTGGAGGGATCTCATAGAAACCTATAAAAATGTAACACGACTAGACAGTGTCAATGCAGGAAGGATGCCCCAGATGACTGGGGGAGGCCAGAGCAAAGGGTCATAGTCTAAGGATAAGGGGGAGATTTTTTAAGATTGAGATGAGAAGAAATTGCTTCACTCTGAGTGGTGAGTCTGTGGAATTTTCTTCCAGAGGACACTGTTGACTTCAAACCATTGAAGATTTGCAAGAAAGATGTATTATATACAGAGATTTATCAAGCTAAAGGTATTCTAGATATGGAGCGAAAGTGGGAACAGGTACTGAGTCGGATGATGAGCAGTGATTACATTGAATGGTGAAAGCAGAAGGGCTAAATGGCCTATTCCTGCTCCTATATTCTGTAGTTCTGTTTCCAAGTTGTAGCACATTTTTCCATCTTCTGAAGACTCTTTCACACAAGTATAAATAATTTATTTTTGTAGCATTCCTCAGATCAAAATAAAATAATTCATGCATATTAGACGTTGGAGTCAAAGTATTTGTTCTTCTGCTTGGTCAGGTTACTCTAATGAAATTATTTGATATTCAAATGGATTACAAGTGTCACTGGAGCTTTGGTTCAATATAAATGGTGGTTTCATTGAGGATATGGCTGTTTTCCAGCACAGCATCGGAGCTTACATGTAAAAATGGGGTACTCCGTCATCTTACAGGTAGAGCGCATTTACCACCCTATCCTTGCAGCTGTTTGATGTTATTGGTAAGGCTATCACTTCAGTGTTTTTCATATAGTACAATATTTAAGTGTAGTCTTATGCATTTGGTTGAACTTTAACATACTTGCCAGTATTATTTATTTCCAAGCCATACCTTCCTCCTAATGGCTGAACCAAAAGATTTTTATTTCCGCCTGGCTGAAGGAATTCGATTCATAAACATTCTAAACAGTATTTACTTCCAAAAAAAAAAAGTTCTGAATTCTTCCCTTTGATAAATGCTGCACCAGCAATCAGTAAAGAAATTAATTGAATTTGATAAGTATCTTTGAAAGGGATTATGAATTTCCATTGGAAATCCATGTATGACATGGTTAGAAGTCAATGTAAACCAATAAGGGATTATCTTTTCTTGACAATTTTTTTATTTCTAGAGTTGGCTACACATTCATATACATTTTACTTTTTTGTGATCGACAGAACTTGTTGTCATCTGGTGCAGTTTTGACTAATTGTTATCTGAGCAAACTGAAAAGCTAGCTTTTACCATATTGTGTCATCCCAAACAGTGACAGAGAAAGTTAAATTCACAACAATCAAGCAAGCGATTTCATTGATCTTTGCTGGTATAGTTAGTAATGCATGTTATTATCTTGGATAAGTATTCACACTGCGTAATGTCTGTGGTTAGGTACATCGTAATTCTACAACATGAATGTTAGATCTACCTTCTGATAAATGGAGAAAGATGTGCTGCATTGGGTCTGCAAGTTTGTCATGCGCAGCGTCTGACATTCACCTCAATTTTCATCAATGTTAAGTGGTAGGTGCTGCACATAAGGTGAGGCTGATCTGATAACAGTTGTTTTTACTGTAATTCAGTATGATTTTGTACCCCTCAAAGTTTAATCCATCTTAAAGATATATCTGATTTTTAATTCCTTATAATAGAGATAGGCAAGCTCAGTGAATGAATCAATTCATTGATGTAGCAAAAATAGAATTTACAGGAAGAGATAATCAAAGATAATTCACATTAAAGAACAGTATAGTGAACACCAGCACACGGACCTTAACTTAAGACCTGGAGCAAATCTCTTCCTTTATGGGCTTTCAGAATAACAGCTAATTGTGAAGATGCAGCCTTACTTTTATTTACTACGATCTCTGCTTTCTTCTATTTTTTCAACTATAAACAGCAGTTTGCCCCAGGAATTATGGGTGTTGATGGATTCACCCAGAACGTTGGAGCATCCCTTTCGAAACTTGGCTCTTTGAGTTCCTCACAAATCAAAAACTTGTAAAACAGAATGCCTCAACAAATCCAAAGAATGATTCTTTCAAAAATTGTTTGAAATCAATTAATAACCAATCTGCCATTGTTTTATTAATGCACAGCTACTGCTCCTCTCAATTGAAAAGTTATAGTTTTCCAAGTAAAAGTTATGTCAACGTTAATCTTATATTTTCAACCATAAAGTAATCCAATGATAGGTTTGTGAAACTTTTGTAACTCATACAACCTATCAGATATGCTTGGTTCTGTAAAGCCATTCATATATTCTATCCTTCCCCAACTTCCTGTCTGTCATTTTCAAAATTGATTTGAAAATGTGTGACTAGCATAAATAATGAGGAGTGAGCTGAGAGATCATGGTCAGTGATACACCAGGTAAACAACCTAAATTCATCATTATCCATCCCTTTTCAAAATTATGTCTCATTATATCTGGCCCAGTAACAAGATGCTCATTTGGTTATTTGACTTAATAGTCATAGTCTGCCGTGTATATTTTTCTCTTCATTTATTTCCTCATTAGGTGTTTAATAAACATTTAAAAATCTGTCAGTCATTTTCACTTGATAGTAGAATCTCATCTCAGTTTTGATGTTAATTTTTCATTTCATTGCTTATTACAATTATTATTTTCAAGGTGTTTCACTTCTTGCTACATCATGGCAGCTGGTCACCATATGCAGACTAGAATGTATTAGCACTGAAGGCACGAAAGTTTAAGAGGTCAGAATATGTAACATTAGACATCCCTGCTGTTCAGGGAGAATGATAAATCTGGTAACGGGGCTTTGTGGAAGTGTATACAAATAAAAGCTGATTCTAACATTACTGAGCCATAAATATATTAATATCTGTTTCCAGGCTCTTTCCTCACGTTAGCAAGTGTATGGCTATGTTAATTCACTCGAATAAATAGCTCGGGAGTTGTTTTAGATCTCAAACCTGGAATTATGAATCAATGAGTAATGACAGTATACTTTCCAAAAAATGCAAATCATTATAGATGTTATTTATTGATCTTTTTCTATTTGTTCACTGGTTCTGCATTGACGTTTTCTGTGTTGTTGATTGCACATTAGGTTTGGACAATATATCACAATATTATGATTTATAGTGATCTGTAGCAATTGCTGTCACTTTGTAATCATATTTAATTGATGCTTCATTGTGGTGCTGGCTAAAAACGCTATGTTGAATGATGTTTCTTTCAGTTAATGCCGTGGCTATTGTAATCCTGAGTAGAGGAGATTGTGGCCTCGCTCAAATGTATCACTTGCTACTTGTTGACGATTTCAGCAGCAGATCTATTACTTGTCATTTTCAATATCTTACTAAACCAAATTAATAATATTTAATTCCCTGTTATATTCTTGTTCATCATTCCTGTGTGTGCTGTTTCTTGCAGCGCTGGACTGTTCTGTTTGGTTTACAGTTACTTTCATGTTTGATCGGTTTATAGCAATTTGTTGCCAGAAACTAAAGTCAAGATATTGTGACAAGAGAACGGTGACTGTGGTTATAGTAATTGTGAGTGTTGTCAGTTGTTTACACTCAATTCCCTGGTACTTTGTATTTGTTATTGATAATGCGCCATGGTTTTGCATCTTAACACCAGAATATCATACTGCATTCTTATAGACTGCGTGTGAGGGTATTGTTAGTATTATTACACCTTTACTTCCAATTACATTGATTTTAGTGTTCAACGTTCTCGCTGTCAGGAATATAGTTGGAGTCAGTTGAGTCTGCCTGCGTCTCCAGGGTTATGGAAATGGAGAGAATAGAATCAATCCAGAAATTGTAAACAGGAGAAAATCCATAATTTTGCTCTTTGCTTTATCTGCTAATTTCATAGTGTTGTGGATGATCTATGCAGCATATTCTTTATATCAGCAGGATATAATTTATAACTAAGAAAACAAGACATTTAGTGATCCAAATTTGTCTTTCAAGAATTTGAATTCACGCTGCAACTTCTGAGTTCTTGTACAAACACATGCATTTATGCACTGACCCAGACAAAATTCAGAGAGGAGTTAAAGAATGGACTGAAGTATCCATTTCACCTAATTTAAAAATTATGTAACTAACCAAAGTGAAATGACCTATAATTGGATCTGTGATTCTATTCCTGCAAAACAATCATTTCATGTTTTATTCTGAAGAGTCCACAGTGCTTGTCCATAGATCCCTGAAGGCTGCAGGACAGGTTAACGAGATGGTTAAGAAGACATGCAGGGCATTTGCCTTAATCAGTTATGGCACTAATTGTAAAAGCTAGAGCTGTGTAGTAATTTGGTTAGGATGCTGCTGAAATACTGTGTGCAGTTCTAGTCACCACACTATAGGTAGGATGTGATTGCACTGGAGGGAGTGCAGAAAAGATTCACCTTTACATTGCCTGGAATGAAGCATTTTAGGTCTGAAGAGAGATGAGAAAATCTCAGGTGTTTTTTAAGAGCAGAAAATGTTGTCAGAGAACCTGATAGAAGTGTATAAAATTCTGACAGGCGTGGACAGGGCAGATATTAAGCAGCTGCTCCCTTCAGTTGAAAGGTCAGTAAGAAGGGGCATAAATTTAAGATAAAAGGCAGGAGGCTTAAAGCAGATCAAGCGAAAAAGATTTGTGAATCTGGAATGCATAGATGGGAAGGTAGTTGGTGTGGAGAACTTACAACCTATAAAATGTACTTGGATGAAGTCTTGAAATGTCATAACATTCAAGGCAGTGTGCCAAATAGAAAGTGGGATTAGTGTCAATTTAGAGTTGTTTTGTTAGTGCAGACTCGATGGGCTGAAAGACCTCATTAATACTGTATGATTCTACATCACTTTCAGCCTCTGTAATACGGTAAATTATGTAATGGCCTTGCCTGCTGATTCTCCGAATGCTTTTCAAAACAATTGTTCAGTTTCTGACATCGTTCTTTTAAGTTTGATTGGATGCCTCTCTCGTTGGTTTCAGAATCCTCATCCAACATCCACTCTTTATTCCGACGTGTGGAGAATATTGCCAGCACCTCTTTGTTGGGAGTGGCATTGAACTTTTGAGATGAAATTTGATGAAACGGTATGTTACTGTTCGGTCAGAATTGTGCACTATTAACATGTTCATCTATTTTATTTCTGCACACTTTAAATCCTCTGCACAGTGGATGGTAGCTTACCCCACTGCATGTGAGCTGGAACCCTGACACTATCCCACAAATCTCAGTCAGCACTGGTACTGATGCTTGGACACTGCTCACCAAGATTTCTATGATGAGACTAATTTATGATTCTTCAGCCAAGCATCCAACTGTGGCTGCAGGATCCTAGGGTCAGTGCAGCCTGAGCATTTGAAATGAGAAGGGTTAGAACAAGATGGAATTCGCACTGTTTTGAGGATGGTATCTGGTGTACAGCTAGTCAAAACTAAGGTTTCTGAGTACATTAATGGCTTTGTGAATGAGTGAGTGGCCTGAATGGATAGGTCGGTGAGTGGGCAATACTTGCCAGGCAAACAGGTATTTGAGTTGGGCATGTGGGCTAATTGTATATGTTGGTGAGGTGGATGAGGTAGGGAAGTGATTGGCTTTTTGAGGTACATGGGAGTTTACCTGGTGAACGGGGTGACTGGGTGTTGAACTCTGAGTAAATGAGCAATTGTTAAGCAGTTGAAAGGTGCAATGGCTTGCTTGGTGATGTCTATGTGTAGGTAGGTCATTGGTCATTGGGTGGATATGGGTGGTCAACTGAAAGAAAACGGTCAGCTACGTTGTCAGGGGAAATGCGGATAGTTGCTTTTCTGGGGAATAGGCTGCAATTGGTTTGTCAGTGTGGGCTCAAGGATTAGTTCATTCTGGTTATGGGACAGTCATGTCTGTAGTGGATAGACCTGCTCTCGGTAGTGACTCCATCAGAAATTTAGGGAGATTGTCGCTTGTGTTGCTGATTTAATTCGCTCAGCATAATTAATTAGATAAATCAGAAATTAACCTGTGTAATATTTTCAGGATAAAAATTCAGCTAAGCCCTTTGTCCCTGGATTTAAGTTCATGATGATCAGACAGAAGGGGCGGCATGGTGGCACAGTGGTTTGCCTTGCCAACTCATAGCACCAGGAACCTGGTTCAATGCCATCCTTGAGTGACTGTCTGTGTGAAATTTGCAAACTCTCCTCATGTCTGCTTGCGTTTCCTCCAGATGCTCCAGTTTCCCCCCTCGGTCCAAAGATATGCAGGTTAGGTGGACTGGCCATGCTAAATGTGGGGCTACGGGGGCAGGATGGAGGGTTGGATCTGGGTGGAAAGCTCTTTGGAGGGTCAGTGCAACTTGACGGCGTGAATGGTTTCTTTCCGCACTGTAGTGGGGTTTCTGTGATTCTAATTACAAGCTCCAGTATAATGAGATTCTAAGAAGACAATACAGGCTCACTGACCCTTCAGTAGTATGATAACTATACCTAGAACATTGACATATTTTCAGAAGTTCATGCCTTTTACAAAATTTGTTGCATACACTCTTTCCAAAAATGACTGAGGGAGGAACCAACAATCCATTCGAATTGGTGACGCCACAGCTGATAAATCCATCAGGAAAGATTAGAGACAGCAGCTCATTGCTCTAATCAAGAGAAAGCTAAGAAGTGACCTGATAGACACTTTCATGAATATACAAAGGTGTATGAAATGATGGACAGACAGAAACATGTTTCCTGGTGTGCAAGAGCATAAACTTCAAGGTCACGAATCTAAGGCAGACACTCAAAAAATCCTTAGAGAATTCAGGATGTATTTTTTTGCTCAGTAATAAGAATGGGGAAATATGTGTGACATGGATTAGTAGAGAGAAAGAACATACAGTCATTTAGAGGAGGCTAGATAAGTGGCAGAAGTGGACAGGCATCACCAGGGGCCAATATCAATCGACATTCGGAGTTTGAGTCATATCTTGGGTGATACTTAATGTCATTCATTGTGATTTAATATCGCAAGTTTTAAAAGCTAATGATAATCACATATTGCTGAAATAACACAGTGTGCAAAGCTCTCCAAGTGTCTGTGTGCTTGTGTGAGTGTGTGTGCACGTAAGTGATGTGTGAGTGCATGACTGGATTTGTTTGTATATTTGAGTGTTTTTGGGTGAGACTGTGTGTTTGAGTTTGTGAGAGAGATTTACTGTGTGTGTGTTTGTGTGTGTGTGTGTATCTGTCTATCTATGTAGGTCATTCGATTGTGGGTGAAGGAGGATCTCCAAAGGAATATTAATATTTTCAGTGAATGGGATCATTTGATGTAGAGAGATTCATAGCAAGACTTCTTCACAATCTTAATGCAGTCTCCTGTCTATAACTGACCACGTATCATTTTTCCTCCAGCCTGTACCGTCATGGTAACTTTTTGATATTCATGTAAGGGTGCTCTAATACCACTGGAGAATGATATTTCATATTTTTCACAGTTTTATACACAAATCTTTTGCGTTCTATTCCTCCTGCAAACGGGAATCACATTTCACCATGTTACATTCCACCCACCAATGTTTTAAATATAATTCAGTTGATACAGTAAAGTATATGTTGTGATGATATGTAGCAAACTGTGTTACAGTCAGTACCTTCATGTTGCAATGTTATAAAATCCAGTCAGAAACCTGTCCTCACACAGAGGGACAAAGTCACTGTGTCTGGAAGTGTGAGCTGGGCAGGGAACCAGGATTTTAATGTCAGAGAGTTAGTTAGTAAATCTTTGTAGCAAACAGAAATTCACAGCTGGTCGGTTGTGAATTTTTCATTCCAATATTACAAGATTTTGCGACTTGTTAAAATTTCAAACAGCGATACTCTTTATTCCTATTTTTTCTGACCAATGCGATCCACATTTCTACACAATATACACCATATATTATAACTCACTGGGATAGTAAGAACTGCTGATGCTGGAGTCAGAGATAACACAGTGTGGAGCTGGAGGAGCACAGCAGGCCAGGCAGCATCATAGGACCAGGAAAGTTGACTTTTTGGGTCGGGACCCTTGTTCAGAAATTTTTTCTTAAAAAGGGTCCCGAGCCGAAACGTCAACTTTCCTGGTCCTACGATGCTGCCTAGCCTGCTATACCCCTCCAGTTCCACACTGTGTTATCCCATATTCCACATATTAATTGTTTTCCCATTCACTAAACCTGTCCATATCTGTTTATCGCCTATTTGATGCTCCCCACAGCTTTCTCTCTCAGGAAGTGCTACACCTGCCCCCATACCCCCTCCCTCCCCCCCATCCCAGGCCCCAAGAAGACTTTCCACATCAAGCAGATGTTCACCTGCACATCTGCCAATGTGGTATACTGCATCCGCTGTACCCATTGTGGCCTCCTCTACATCAGGGAAACCAAGCGGAGGCTCGGAGACCGCTTTGCAGAACACCTACGCTCGGTTCGCAATAAACAACTGAACCTCCCAGTCGCGAACCATTTCAACTCCCCCTCCCATTCCTCAGACGACATGTCCGTCCTGGGCCTCCTGCAGTGCCACAACGATGCCACCCGAAGGTTGCAGGAACAGCAACTCCTATTCCGCTTGGGAACCCTGTAGCCCAATGGTATCAATGTGGATTTCACAAGTTTCAAAATCTCCCCTCCCCCACCGCATCCCAAAACCAGTCCAGCTCGTCCCCGCCTCCCTAACCTGTTCTTCCTCCCACCTATCCCCTCCTCCCACCTCAAGCCGCACCCCCATCTCCTACCTACTAACCTCATCCCGCCCCCTTGACCTGTCCGTCCTCCCTGGACTGACCTATCCTCTCCCTAACTCCCCACCTACACTCACCTTTACTGGCTCCATCCCCGCCTCTTCGACCTGTCTGTTTCCTCTCCACCTATCCTCTCCTCTATCCATCTTCTATCTACCTCCCTCTCTCTCCCTATTTATTTCAGAACCCCTTCCCCTCCCCCATTTCTGATGAAGGGTCTAGGCCCGAAACGTCATCCTTTCTGCTCCTATGATGCTGCTTGACCTGCTGTGTTCATCCAGCTCTGCACCTTGTTGTCTCGGATTCTCCAGCATCTGCAGTTCCTACTGTTTCTGATTCAATAAATATTGAAGCATTTGATTGAGTTATTCTGTTATCTGATTACCAAATATTGTACATTAGTGTATGAATTTGTTCTGGGCAATTTGCTTACCATCAGGGGTACATTATATAATGGTGCTTTTCTTTCCATTAAGTGTTGTTTTCTTAACTGAGAAATTAATCTGTGTTCACAGATCCAGCAGCAGGAATAACATAAGGACACGTAAACATGGGAAAGAGCAGCTGGTGCATGCTATCTTCTCCCTGTAACCTGCTCTGCAATTCAACCACTCTATTCCCCTATCAGTTTTAGAAATAATGAAGAAAAAAACACATTTCTAATAACACACTTAAACTCTAACGCATGGTGAAAACAGATGATGAATTATTAATTCAAACTGAAGCTGTTCCCCATTTAAATCCAAGCGTAGAAAGTGGGATTAGTGAAAATAGGTCGTAGATAAACCCCCTGGTCCAACAACTCCCCACCTATGTCTGGGACACCACCCATGTTCTTCACCTCCTCCAAGACTTCCAATTCCCTGGCCCCTAACACCTCATCTTCCCTATGGACATCAAATCCCTGTATATTTATATCCCCCACGCTGATAGCCTAGAAGTCCTCTGCTTCTTCCTGCAGGCCCAACAAGTCCCCCTCCATTGACACCCTCATCCACTTAACAGAACTTGTCCTTACCCTGAACAACTTCTCCTTTAACTCCTTCCACTTCCTACAAACACACATGGATCTGAGCTATGCCTGCCTCTTCGTAGGATATGTGGAACAGTCCCTTTCCTGCTATTACGCCGACACCATCTCTCACCTCTTCCTCCGCTAAATTGATGACTGTATTGGTGCTGCCTCGTGCTCCCATGAGGAGCTTGAACACTTTACTAACACGTTTCACCCCTACCTCAAATTCACCTGGACCATCTCTGATACCTTCCTCCCCTTCCTGGACCTCTCTGTTTCATTCTCTGGCAACCGTCTCAACACCGATATCTATTTCAAGCCCACTGA